GTACAACCCAGAAATAGGTTTCTTCGTTGTGGCCTCTGTGCATCACACATATGGGTTCTGCGCCTGCGCAGTGCCTTTGGCCAGAAGATTAACAGCTAACGGTTTTTGGCAGGAACTCCGCTCCCCCTCCCCCCCAGCATTATATATGGAGCGGAGTGCCCGCCGTTTTCCAGTCTTTGCGACCGCCGTTCGTTGTGCCTCGTGCTGCTTCGCTCTCGCTAAGATTATTACTTACCTTCTTGCTCGTTCGAAAATCTCTCCTTTTTCCTGCCAAGTTTGTATCCCTTGTTCTTGTTGTTAGTACTTCACTTATATTTCTTCTTAACTTTGCACCATTTTTTCCTCTTTATCGTTCCTATAAAAAAAAAACAAAAACAAAAATATTACTTTCCCGCTTTACTATCTCCTTTTTTCTTCTTTCTACGATGGCGCAATGGGCCACGTTCCGCAAGTGCGGAAAATGTGGCTCCAAAATGCCCGCCGCGGACCTGCATGATCTGTGCCTCCTTTGTTTGGGGGAAGGGCATAGAACCGATAAGTGCGGCCATTGTTTGGCCTTCTCTAAACAGGCGAGGAAGAACAGGGAGAACCGCCTCCGCAAACTCTTGTGGGACCAGGCTCTCCTCCAGTCGGACCGGCTGGTGGCTAAGCCTTCCACTGTTGTGGCCCCACCCGAAGGCCGTCCAACTTGGGCTGACCTGCCGCAACGCCCGGCCTCTTCCTCCATTGCTCCGCCCTCACGCCCTTCTGAAGAAGGCGCTCATACCATGGCCGACCAGTCTGTTTCCCTGCTGAGGAAACAAAAGGAAAAAAGAAAGCACAGCGACTCAGATAAATATCCTGTGCATAAGAAGGCCAAGAAAGATAAGACGGGCAAGCCGGTTAAGAAGCCGAAGAACCCCGAGCAGGCAAAACATAGCCAGTCAGGCTCAGCCTCTTCCTTGAGTCCGATCCCTGCTTCAGAACCGACCCCCTCGGTCCCGACCATGCAGGCGGCTATGAGGGTTACCCCACCAGGCCCACCGCGCCGACCGACAGCCAAACCCATTCTGGATTCAAGGCGTGGTTCCATCTCTGATGGGGAAATACGAGACTCTCCACCTAGAGCTCGATCACCAGCCCTGATGCCTCCGATCCCGATGGGTACTGAGATCGCCATCTCCCCTCCGAGAAGCCGTAGGAGCCGTTCCTCGGATGCGAGGTCTGATGACTGGCATCACTCCAGGTACTTGTTAAGGAAGCTATGCAAGTGGCAGTGCAAGTGGATTCTGTATTAATCAACAGAAATCTTCCCTTCTCCCTACACGGGTGATCAACTTTATCGGAGCCCGGCTGGATTCGACATTGGCAAGAGCCTTCCTTCCTCGGGACAGATGGCATGCGATTGCTCAGTGCATCGCTCGGATTCGACAAGCAAGAACCATCCCCGCCTGGTCTGTTCAGAGCCTGTTGGGACACATGTCTGCTTCCATCGCTGTGGTTCCGCATGCCAAACTCAGGCTACGTCCCCTTCAGCTGTTCTTCAACGGAATGTTTCGACCACAGACAGATCCACCTACCAAACGGATTCGACTCCCGGCTTCCATTCTTCAGTCCCTGTTATGGTGGATAGACCCAGCCAATCTGACTGTAGGCGTTCCGTTTCGACCCCGGTACCCTACAGTAACCCTTGGCACCAATGCGTCCCTGCTGGGATGGGGAGCAATTTGCTCCGATCTATGTACCCAGGGGATATGGAGTCACCGGGATGGCAGGAACCATATCAATTTTCTGGAACTTCTTGCCGTTTTCAAAGCTCTGCAATCATTCGAGGATGTGCTTCTACACCAGGTCGTCCAGGTGACCTCAGACAACATGGCGACGGTCTTTTATTTGAACAAACAAGGGGGAACCCGATCCCGGAAACTAGCCTGCCTGGCCATGCAGATTTGGGACTGGTGCACACCGAGAGGTATCACTCTTCTAGCAGTTGATTTTGCGGGCACGGAAAATGCAGACGTGGATCTCTTGAGCAGACATATGTCGCGGTCACACGAATGGGAGCTAGACCATCGGGTTCGCGACATGCTGTTTCACCGATGGGGCCAGCCAGACATCGACCTGTTTGCCACACAGCAGAACAGGGCATGCACGACCTATTGTTCCAGAGCGGGGATGGGTCAGGACTCGCTCGGAGATGCTTTCATGATCCCCTGGACAAATATGACTTTTTATGCTTTCCCTCCGATCCCACTCAACATGAGAGTGTTGGCAAAGATCATTCACAAGGGGGCCACAGGGCTACTGATCACCCCCTGGTGGCCACGCCAGCCATGGTTCTCAACTCTCCTTCACGTCTCCCAAGAAGAATTTCTCCAACTCCCTCTTCTTCCTTATCTCGTTACCCAGAGGGAGGGCACGATCCACCACCCAGACTTGCTGTCGCTGAAACTGACTGCATGGAGGATACGATGACCAGCTGTGATGCACCGGTATCGACGCCACCAACCGTCCCGGCCATTCCTGCTCAGCAGAGTCTACACCCAGACCTACAGTATATTCTCGAATCTGCGCTATGACCATCTACTAGGAAGTCGCACGTGGCAAAATGGCAGAGATTCTCTAACTTTGCCAATTTACACTCGTTTCCGGCCCCCTCGGCTTCTGTTTCACAGATACTTCAGTTTCTCTTTGAATTGCATCAGTCTGGACTCAAACCTTCGTCCATAAAAGTTTATACAGCAGCGATTTCACATTACTGGGGAACTATACATGGTCTCTCCATTTTTGCTCAACCTCTGATTAAAAGATTTTTGAGAGGATTGAGTAATCTGCATCCAACTATAAGACCTCTAATGCCCACCTCGAGTCTTTTGGTGGTTTTACAAGCGCTGACTCGATCACCTTCCAAACCCATGGCGACGATCGATCTACGCCTTGCTTCATGAAAGACTGCCTTCCTTGTTGCAGTGACTTTAGCCCGTAGATCCTCTGAACTCTGCGCCCTTCAGGTAGACCCCCCCCCCTTTTCTAAATTTTGATAAGGAAAAAGTGGTTCTTTGGCTGGATCCGTCTTTCCTTCCGAAAGTCGCTACTTCGTTTCACATGCAACAGGAGATTGTTTTACTGGCATTCTTTCCAACCCCTTCGAATCCGATAGAGCGATCTCTACATATGCTGGACGTTCGTCGTTGCTTAGCTTTTTATAGGTCCAGGACTGAGTCTGTTCAGCATTCCAATAGACTTTTTGTGAAATATTCGGAACATGACCGAGGCTGTCCAGTCACTTCACAACATCTTTCGAAATGGATAGTAAATACAATTGTCCTGTCTTATCAGTTAGCTAAGTTGGACTTGCCATCTACTCCACGAGGTCATTCTACAAGAGCTGTTGCTGCTTCTTCGGCCTTTGCATCAGGGGTCCCGATAGAACATGTGTGCAGGGCGGCCATTTGGGCTACCCCATGTACCTTCGCCAGACATTATAGACTCAATGTCCGTGCCAGGCAGGATTGCTTTTTTGGCAGAGCTGTCCTTTCTTCTGTCCTTCGTTGATGACACCTCCCCTCCTCCATTTGGGGTAACCTTGTTATTCTACCTATATGTGTGATGCACAGAGGCCACGACGAAGAAGAGCAGGTTGCTTACCTGTAACTGATGTTCTTCGAGTGGCCATCTGTGCAGTCACACAACCCACCCTCCAACCCCGCTTGGTGTCATGGGTGGTCCGACTAGTTCTTTCGATACTATGATCTCTTTGCTATGTGTCGTACCACTACTGAATTTGGCTATCTTGTCATACTGACAAACCTTATTATAAGAACAAATGTTGGTCTTTCATTGGAAAATGGCGGACACTCTGCTCCTTATATAATGCGAGGGGGGAGGGGGAGCGGAGTTCCCGCCAAAAACCGTTAGCTGCTAATCTTCCGGCCAAAGGCACTACGCAGGCGCAGAACCCATATGTGCGACTGCACAGATGGCCACTCGAAGAACATCAGTTACAGGTAAGCAACCTGCTCTTCATGCTTCGGTGGGAACTAGGCCTGTATTCTGAGTGTCACATTTCAGGAAGGATATTTGGCAAACTAAAACATGCCCAGAGGAAGCAATGAGGTGCAGCAGAATTTGGAAACCAAGTCCTGTGAGAAATGATTGAAAGAGCTTGGTGTGTTTAGCTTGAAGAAGAGATGATTAAAGGGAAATGTGATCAACCATCTTCAAATATCACATAGAAGACAGAGCCATGCTCTTTGTGGCTTCAAGGGGCAGGATTGGAACCAATAGATGGAAATTGCATGGAAGCAAATTTCAGCTAAACCTTAACAGAGTGAGCATTCCCGATATTTTGGTCATTCACCATCATTGGTTGTCAGGGGTTGTAGGCCAAAACAGCAGCGTGTCCACCAGATGCTCACCCCTGCATTAGAAGAACCTTCCTACCGGTCAAAGCTATCCCAAAGACAGTGGGACAAGCCACTCCAGAAGGAGGTGAGCTCAATGTTCTACAAAAAGAGTGTAGAACCTCTGGTCTGCAGGCCAAATATGGCCCACGTGGCATCTCAGTAGTCTAAAAAGCTGAACTGCTCTCCTCAGGCTTAGCTACCAGAAGTAAGAACTTTAAGGGAAAATGTGCTAGTGCTATTTTGGTATTTTAATCACACCTGCTCTGGCTTCAGCCACACCCACCCCTGAATTACAGTCCTAAACTTGGATTTAGTGTTAGGGCGGAATGAGTTTCAGTACACCTATTCTACCAGAGCACTCCACATGCAGATTCTTGCACTTGGGCTGGGCATCGGATTAAAGGATCTCTTTGCAAGGCTAAAATGCTTTGCAAAGCTCTAATTGTAAGGCTACTTGATCCCAACAGCTGCTTGGGAGTAACATGCTTTATTTCCTTATTTCCTTCAGTCTTACGAAAAAAATGAAAGAAATGCCTAAAAGAAGAGTATGCCTGACACCGAACTGGGACAGTGAGATGTGCTGATGTTGTTTCCGTTGTTTCTTTTCTCTTGCAGGTGAATGGAATAGATCTTCGTGGTGCTACCCATGAGCAAGCAGCTGCTGCCCTCAAAGGAGCAGGCCAGACTGTGACAATCATAGCACAATACCAGCCAGAAGGTAGGTAGGCCAAGTTAATCCAGTGCAAACCCTCCTGGTGACCTGTGACTCATACAGAGACAGAACAGGCAGTCTCTGTATTAATGCATCTCTCAGGTGTGGTTGTCTAAGCAGGTGTGTAGTTCAGGAATGGCTGGGACACAATTTGGATCTATTCTGTATCTCACCAGCTTCACCAGATGGTGAAGAAATGAACAGAGCCTCATTCTTAATGAGGACAAGGTGGTTAATGGCTCCCCAGAATCCAGAGAAATAGATTCTGGATGTGATGGTCTCACTTCACATCACTGGTCTTCTCATTAGATGGGAATAAATATGTCAAAATGTGGCAAGCCATCCCTGCTGCATCTGGGAGCCATTTTGCTTATTCTGTTGAGTAGACTCTGGGTTGTCCCCCAGAGTTCCTCCGTGATGGTATCATGCTATGAATCTACAGTCCCAAAGGGAAACAGTCCTGTCTCATTGCTGAGAAATGGAGATGTAGTTGGCACCAAACCAGCGAACAAAACACAACTCCAATGTCTGACCACCATCCAATTTGGGGAATGATTTGAGGAATGAGGGATCATACACAAGGACAAACATGTTCTAGACCCATCAGCGTAACACTGTGTCTTTCAGTTAGAATGTGTTTTTGGAGGCTTTGCAGTGATTTCAGGAGAACATGGACAAATCCTAGACCAGTGATGGCGAACCTTTCAGAGACTGAGTGCCCAAACTGCAACCCAAACCCACGTATTTATCGTCAAGTGCCAACACTGCAATGAAACCTGAATACTGAGGTTTCAGTTTAGAAAAAAACAACTCACAGCCAGTCCAAGCAAATACACACACACACACACACACACACACACCCATCCATTCATCCTTGGCAGTGCACTGACCAGCCATGCAAAAGCTCAGATGAGTTGCGGCTAATGACTCACAGCTCATGACGTCATTGCCTGGTCCCACTACTCCTTTCCAAGCATGCGCATGACCCCTATGTGCACTATTATCCGATGCTCGGCTGCTGGGGTGATGCTTGGGTGACTTGGCTCGCGTGCCGACAGAGAGGGCTCTGTGTGCCCATTGCGGCACATGTGCCATAGGTTCGCCACCACTGTTCTAGATTATTCGAGGGGCTGAGGGAAGAACAGGTGAACAGAACACAGGATTGCTTCATGGACTGAGAGCTCCCCAAAAGCAGTTCTGGGGGAAGGGTAGGATACTATTTCCAATGATCCTGGTAAGCTGCAATTGCAAATTGAATTTTGTCTACCTTGTCTTTGAATTATCGTTTTGCTTGGGAAATATCTTCATGGTCAACATGGTTGGTCTTCGTACAATTTGTGTTTGCACGAGTATTACTGGGCTTGCAGAGAGGGGTGATGGAAGAAAAGACTCTCAATCGAGTTACTGTTATTAATTTCTTAAGCACACCCACACAGTACAACATAGTGTCAAAGTGATTTACTGCTCAGTGGAATGTGTAAGGTGTGCAATGTTCCATGTTCCTTAAGTCCAAGCGAATGACTACCAATTTAAATTATTGGTGAGTGGAATTAATTTTGCATAAGTTGCACTGAATATTTTATAAGCAGTTGTTTTCTATGAATTGATGAATTTCTCAAGATGCTGGTTGGCTTGTCAAATATTTATGGTGGACCTCATTTGGTCAAACTGGCCTCTTGCTGTTTATGGTTTTATGTCCAGGATGATTTGTTGTGTCTGTTCCAGTTTCTCGGAAGAAAGTTGCATTGGCCACTGGCTAAATGGGAATGCTGGTTTAACAAGCTTGCTAAGTATTGATTTATCATTTCATAAGACAGAGCAAACATCACCCATCAAGAAAATGGTGCAGATCGGTAGACCTACTGCAGAAATGGCACAGAGTCCTTGTTCTACATTTCCAAAGAATATACAGTATTTTAAAAAAGATTGGCCAGTTCCAGTGGATACTGGAATGATCCAGTGGATACTGGGGGGTGCAGACAGCCATGACAGTGGGTGATGCCACACAGCAGTCAAGAGGCAGGACCGGGAAGCAAGACTATTGATCTTGATTATTGATTTTTTTTTTAGTTTCTTTTTGTTAGTTTTGTTGGCTAGCAGAAAATAACAATAAAACATTTATTTTTTTAAAAAAAAGGAAGCAAGAGTGGCCCAAAACAGGTCCCAAGCAGGGAGAACGTGTTCCAACGTGTGTTGGGAGAACCCTTATGTAGTTCCTCAGCATAAGTTCCTCTCTAAGGCTCGGCCTCGTGGCTGGAGGATGCTGATCCTTAAAGGACCAATGCTCTTGCCTGGAGCCTGGAAGTCCAGTGACCCTCCTTCATCTCTTGCCTGAGCTTTCTGCCTGTGGCATGAGGCCCTTAGGATGTGGCTGCTGGTTCCTTGGGGGTGTCCAGCTGGGGGGTAACGGTCTGTGTGGTTCCGAGGGACTGCTGGCCATCTGGGTCATGACAAAGGTCCATGGAGGCATTGTGACAAAGGGACTGAGCTGTGCATGAAGAGTCCTCTGGTGTGTGTCAGACTTTGCCTATCACCTCTCCAGGTGGACTTGGGACACCTCCCCATCTCAGCCTAAACTCCCAAATCATAACTTGGGGATAACAACACTGAAGGACCTCATGGGGTTCTTGTAGGGCGGCCTCTCCTAACTCTCAGCATTCCTGACCATGCTGGCTGGTGCCCATAGGAATTGAAAGCCAAACTTCTGGGGGGCATCAGGTTGAAGAAGGTTGTTGTAAGGACTATATCTTAATGTGTGCCAGACTTTCCATATGCTCTGAAGCAGACTCCTTAAATATAGTGCTCACCAGATATTTTGGATTAGAACCCCAAGAATTCTTGGCCAGTGACCATGCTGGCTGGGGCTCTTGGGAGTCGTGTCCAAAACATCTGGTGAGCACCAGGTTGCAAAAGGATACTCTGTATATACAGTATATACACTGTTCTTTATCAGCAACATTATTTTAAAAATCCATGTGAATCTTTGCTGTTAATGTTGTAAAGAAAAATACTGTAAGAGTGAAAAAGTTCTTGCTTTACAGAAGATACTGCCCTGACACGTTTTGATGGCCAGTGGTGTGAAATGACTTTTAAAGGGGATTAAACAACCCCATTCCCAGCCTCCCATTTTACCAAGGGAGAATTCTATCAGAAGCTCCGAAAGATGGAGCTCCAAACTAATGGGCAGCTTCATGGCCGAAGCAAAACAGTATCTCCTGCATTATTATTTCATACTTTCTATAGAGATCTAAGGAAAGTGGTGATTCCTCCATGCCTGTTACTTATTCCTGTGTGATTTGTTTCTGTTGGGGTGTCCTTCCTTCTTGCAGATCAAAATAAACAGGTTACAGTACAACTACAGCTCTTCTAGCCAGTACTCTTAAAATAAGAAGCACTATTTTACCAAATTCCTAATTTTGTATAGTTTCAGATAGAACAGGACTGCTCTGTATTACATTTTTGTGTAAAGGACGATGCATTGATTTTGACATTTGTACTTAGAATATTTTTTAGAATGGCTTTAGGGCAATTGTAGTTAGTCATGTATGCAGCTCCCTGGGTGACTTTTGGCCAGTCATCCATTCTCAGCCCAAGCTGCCTCACACGGTTGTGGTTGTGAGAACAAGACAGAGGAGGAGGAGAATTAGGTAAGATGCCTTGAGTTCCCTAGAAAGAAAAAAAAGTGGGATATAAATAAATATAGGAGATAGCCGCATAATCAGTGATCATTAGGTAACTAAAAGGAACATCCATGGATCAGAGGCAAAATTAGCACTAATAGGCTAGCTTGGTGGGCTTCCTCGGGGCATTTACTTAGTCACCTCCGGAAGCAGGACGAGAATCCAGCTACAGTTCTTGATCGTATTCCAACCCCTTCTTTGCTGAGAGCAACCAGATTTAGGACGGATGAGAATCAGCTACTGATTTAACTCCTCAAGTTCATATTGGGGCAGATAATGAGGAATATTCACTGCCACCTTGCAGAACCATACGTAGACATGCACCAGACTGGATTTCAATTCCAAACCCGGCAATTGGAAGCCCAGAACCTACTCAGATCTTTACCATGGTGCGCTGTAAAGACAGAGCTCATTGTGGGCCTTCCTCACACCAGCCGCTCGCCAGGGAAAGCAGTGCTGTCATGGGAAAGAAGGCACTTGATCCAGCACGTCCACATGGTTCCTCGATTACGTGAACTGCTGGAACCATGTGGGGAGAAGCCACAGGGCTGGTCATTCATGGTAACCTGAACCTCCATGCATTCCTGGTCCACGAATGAGAGTTTCCATCTTGCTTTTTCCCATTGTGTTGCTCAAAGTGACATAGCCAGGGCTCCACACACACTGCCTTTTACCCAACCTCAGACCAGGCCGGTACCACCTTCGATCCAGTCTAGTGGCTGGTGTCCAGCTGCCTCCAAGCCTACAGTGGCCTGCTCTGCACACGCCTTCAGGCCACTGCAGGCTTGGAGGCAGCCGGACACCAGCATGGGCTTGAGCTGCAGCTACCACATCCTGAAAACATAACAGTCAGTGACCCTGAGGCCCAGCACCGTATTCTACCAGCTGCCTTGAACGTGCTTTTGCTGCTCAAGAACAGGCTATGCACTTCCCCCTCGCACCTTCTCCCTGTACAGTAACACCCACTGGAAATAGAACCTGCAGGTTTCCTCCATCCAGAACAAGCTGCCTCCTCGTAAAAAGCCTGAGGGCCTCCCAGGCCGGGGAGTGAATTAAAAAAAACAAACTATTTCCAGCATGGTGTGGCAGGGAGGGAACTGGAAGTGCAGGAAACATGGCTTCAGTTTTTACCTGCAGGGCAAGGCAATGCCTCAGACTCAGCCCATGGTCTTGCTGTGTACTCTCGGTACAACATCTCTACAGTGGTTCTAGCACAGCAGTCATTCCTGGGGAGGAACAACAATACCTACCTTATACATTTCGACTAGCCATACATCTTTCGACGAACCAACCGGCACCCTATTTTAACAGCACGTATAAATGAAA